CCATAAACACTCCACACTGTCATTACCATCATTAAGCTCTAGACAATCAAAACACTCCCTAACACACAGGGCTACCCCACTGCCTCTCTTCCTTGCCAATCCCTCCTGAGGAACATGTTGCCATCTACTGCAGCACTCTGGTGTGTGTTATCCTACCATATATCTCTGATGCCAATTGTATCACAGTTTTCCCACTGCACAGTGGCTTCCAGCTCCACCTGCTTGTTGCTCACACTGCGTGCATTGGTGTAAATGCACTTCAGTTGGGCTATTGATCCCACCACCTTTTGGGGAGTAACGTAACAAGAGTTGTTATGGGAATTTTCATAGCTGTATGTAATCCATGTGTACAGAGAGGTAAGATAATACTGCCTGAGGGATACTGTGCATATATCTTGCTCTGGGATGCAGATTTTTGGTTTGTAAGACTAAAGCAAATTTAGTATAAATATTTATATTTTAGTATTTTGCTTATTCTTAATTCATCTGTATGCCTACCATCAACCAGAGTAATACATAAATGATAATTGTGAGGTTTGATGGACAGATATGCCAGATTTCTGGACTCAGTAGAAAGATTTCTCTGTGTTTCCCGGGCACTGAGGCACTGGGTTATATCCTGAATTGTTTAGTTAAGAGGAAAACCTCTATGGATGTTATTCTCATGTATGCATGCTCCAGAGTAGAATTATATCATGTCACAGCTGTTAAATTCAAATTATTTTGGAGTTTAAACTGCTATTCCTGCATAGCTTTATTACAGGGACAAGTCACTACAGACTATAGTTCTGAAAATCCAGTGATTTACTAGTGATACCTTTACAGTGAGGGTATAGATAAGACACTGATGCTAAGTTTCAGGCTTGAATATTTTCATGTTCTGTTAATAAACTGCGATTTTGAATGTGGCTATTGGAGCATGAGAGACTGGAGTGTGAGATCTCTCTATGCCATCACCTGCAAATTGCTTAATATCACAAATAAATGTTACATAAACGTTAAGGTTTTCTTTTAAGCTGCAGAAGCAATGTAAAAATCGGTAATAGTGGAAAGGCTTTCATTTGTGGTTGTAGTCCTGTTAAGATCCTGTTTGATTACCAAGTTAGATTTACCGTAACATGCAGATTCCGTTTGCAGCCTTTTAAGATTTACTGATATTTTAATATCATCAGGTTAGGCTAAGAAATCAGTTTTGTCTGAAGAGAATATAGATTCTGATTGTTTTTTACAGGATTAAAACTGGATGGCTGATACTGTTACTCTCTATAGCCACAAGACCCACTGCTCTGATGGACATTGCCACCCACAGGGCAATGGATTGGATCTGCTTATGTATAAACTCCAAAATCGCAGCAGCTTTCAGTCTGCATATAAACCACCTAGATGCCTGAGAGTGGTAGCAGACAGCAGTCCAATTTTAATCCCCATTCACAAACTCTTCAGAGATTAAGTATGCGATGGTAGGTTTATACACAGTGCCAGGAAGCTGCCTGCTGTGTGCCGAGCTTAACTTGTCTGACCATGCTGAAGTACAGCAGTAAGTCTGAGGTATTGTGTCCTGCTTCTCAGCACTCTAAAAGAGAGGGTAGGCATGTGGGCTTGGAAGAGTGAGCAGCCATCAGCATGAGCCTCACCTGAATAGCTGATATTGTGACCCATGGCAGCTCTTATCCAATGACTTGGTGTGTTGACCTTGACCAAACTGGTCTTCATCAGCTGTTCTTTACAACCTTGTTGAATGGGTAAGAGAATAAAACCTTGGGTTCAGCAACCCTTGATTTTTACTACTCGGACATGTTCAGCAGGATGCTGTAGACATAGAAAGCCTTTCAGGAAGCTGTTTCAGCATGTGGGCAGTGTCTGCAAAAAATGACACTGACATGTTTTTACCCCATCTGGGAGATATTATGCTGATTAGAAATTTTTTCACCAGTAGCCAACAAACAAAATTTGCAGCTGGCAAAACCAACAGTTTATTCAGCTGGTATGGATTTGTTTTTTCTCTCATTTCTCTCTTCTATGTTAAACTTCAAGAAGTAAATTAATACTGGTACTGAGGCCAGTCCAAAGCATTAGGTATTTCAGTCCTCCTTCGTTAACTTTGACCACTTATATAAGACTGAAGTAATACATGTTTAGTGTGGGACTGGTTTGATAGGAGGATGTAAATGTATTTTTAATTATCAAATACTTTTGTCATCCCAAACAGATATATCCAAAGACATTTTTTTTCTTTTATGCCTATTCATGTTTTCTACTGCTTGAGTTTGCTTCCATCTTAGCAAAATGAGAAAGAATCAAAAGTCTCTTGATCTAAATCTTTATTTGTACTGGACTGAAAAGGTATTGAATTGCTTATATGACAATCAGTACCTGACAGATGCAACATCTCTTTCTAATGCCCTTTATGCAATGCTTCTTAATGTAAAAAATAGTGTAACAAAGGAAAGAAAATCCGTGACTTCGGTTTACCTTCTTTTCTTGTTATAGAAGGTGAAAAGTTGAATTGTCACAGGTGAACTGAGATTACATCCTGCAGCTAGAGAGAATGTAAAGAGAATTTAAAGAAACCTTTAAAAAAAGTCTTACATAGTATTATCAATTCCTATATAAAATAATTTAATATTTTAAATACTGTTTAAATAATTTATCTGTATTTAAAACTAACCTTTTAAAATTTTATGTTTGGAACTTTTTTGGCATTAACACTTAAATAAAATCTTTTAAATATTAAAAAATTTTTAAAATATTCAATACAATTCAATATAAAACCAGAAAAGTAATATACATTGTTCACACATAGTATTGTACATGACAGCTGAGCTCTAGATTGAGCTTTTGAATTTGTCAGACAAGTCATAGCTTAGTTGTGGTACACCACTTGCTTATCCTCTCTCTGGACTCTTAAGATCATAACAGATCCTTACCATCAATATGTAGTCTTTAATATTATATACACATACTGTATACAGTATTTAGTTTCCATCTCTATGCCCAGAATTGTAAATAAATATTCCTCCCAGCATTTAGATCAAAATATTGTTTAGCGCATACACAAATATATTTGACGCACACAATTTGACAAGAAACATATCAAATTTGCTCAGCTCAGTTATAGGAAAATTTAACTCATGGGTGCAAAATAACATAAGTGAGAAGTTGTCACTGTTGTATTTAAAATTTATAATGATCTTATTACCAAATGTTTATAGGTTGTGTTAACAGTAGGAAAATCAGGATTCACTTGTCCCCTTGGTGCATTTTCATTAATCCTGCCCATGACAAAGGCAGTAGTGTCGGCATGATGCTGGTGTCTTACAGCTACTTTGTCTAACACCTGGGATTTGCTGACAGTATTACAAACTTCAACAGTATTACAGACTCAGTGTTACAGACTTTGGCAGGACTTCCCTAAAGGCTAAATACCAGTCTCCAGTTTTTAAGCGTAGGCATGTCTGTCATTGATAGTGAAGTTTACTGTCAAATTGTAAATTACCTTCTCCATCCTTCTGTAAAGAACTCCTGTATTTAACAAGGTGATTTCTACAGATACTGTAAATGGATTCTGGTGGAAAGAGGGGTACTCTTATTCTTCCTATATTGCATGTGTCATGTATTATGATTGCAATAGTTGTGTCCCATTGTACAAGGTAGTCATCAAAGGTCTTCATTTCTTCTTGAAAAATTCTTCTCCAAGAGGACCTCAAAACTTTACAAACAATAAATGGAACATTCTAGCTACATAGGGATACTTGCAGAAGGAAACAATACAAATGCAAATCAACATTCACATCAGGAAGCCTCGTCTAGAAACATGACTCAGAAGAACAGCACATGCCACATGATATGATATTCACAAATGAACAAAACTCACATTTCAGATTTTGGACTCACAGTTTCCTATTTATATGCAGTATACAAACTAGAAACTATTTGCAGGAATTACTGCATGGCTAGTTCTTAATAACTGTTCCTGAAAATGTAACTCCTTCACAGATAACTCACAAACACTTTGTTTCAAGATAAGCTTTCAAGGATTTGAATGCTTTGCTCATGTCTTTGCAGTGTGAGATTCTGAATAAACTTTCATGAAAACACAATTCACAAACTGCGAGAAATATCCTCCATTCCTTTCACTTCTCCTAGCCTTTTCTCTGTCATGAAGGTACCCGAGCAAGGTGTTCACTTATGTGATGGACTGTACCTGTGTTAACTTTGGGCTTGGTTTACATGAAATTTGATTCTCCTTGCTTTCAGGGGAGCAGACCCTCAAAAGGGAGTCATGGTACCTAGTACATTTCAGTCACCTTTTTTAATCCAGTTTAAGAGATAAAGGGAGGCCTTGATTTTATTTCACAATAAAACACAGGCCTCCATTTGTGTCTCTGAAGACCTCAGCCAAAAAGTCAGGATTCTGCAGGATAAAGCAAGTTGTCAGTGCTAAAATAATCCTCTCCCACATCTTCTGTCATTTTTATCACTGGTCAGCCCTTTTCATTAAGACATTGAAGTCACATGAAAACTAAGCATATTTTGACAGGATAGTTTCAGAATCAGAAATAAGAAAGTGATGAACTGTTAGTTTTGCCTTTGCAAATGTCTGTCTAGACTTAAGAGAATTTGTATTTAAGTCTTAACCTTTCCTTGGATGTATATGCAGTGTGTATATATACATACATATTTATACAGTTCATAGTTTATATCAGACCCAAGAAAGCTTTAATATTCATCAGTGCTCTTTGGATGATAAACTGAGCAGAAAAGGTGCCGTTTTCTTGTAAAGACATGTTATGATGACTCAACTGAAAGAGGTCTATAAAAGGCTAAGCATACAACAGATCGAACATTTAATTTTTAAATTAAAATCTTAATCTCAGGATTTAACGGCTTCTTTTTGCTTTAGATTCTTCATTTATTCTTAAGCCTGTACAAGACACTGAGTTCCTTTTTCCACACTGGAATCCAATTAACTTAATGAGACAAGTGTGTGTATTTTTTTAATTTATTTTTTTTAAACAAGTGAGGATAAAAGCATCATAAATCTTCTCTTTTTTTTTTTTTTGATAGTTAAAAAGGTCACCAGTTGAAAGAATGTCTTACTGTAGAGAAGGAAGAAGTGGTAAACATTGCAAAACTACTGTCAAGCCTATTTAAGAATTCAGGCCAAAGTTCCAGGTCAAATCCAGAAAGACAGAGAAGGATGAGTTATGTGGTGTATCATCTTAACTTTCAGGTTTGTGGTGTCTCAAATTCAGAATTCTGTAGTCACATATGCTCTATCTAAAATGCATGGAGGGAGTTATGGTCTGACTGGTTATGAGTGAGCTGGAGAGCTACATACCACAACTCAGTAAGAAGCAGTAACTGAAAAAGCAAACTTTTTTCCCTTTTCTCTCTGCTGTTTGAGCTTCTATCTACTTGGATTTAATCTTCTCCTAAACATAAGTGTTTATGATCACTCATTCAAATAATTAAGATGGACCACCTTCTATCTTTTATAACAAAGCCTGGAAGAAGTGACATTGCTGGCATTGCCTACCTGTTATTTTGTAATAGTTCAAAAATGTGTAAAAGACAGTGGTGCAATGCCCTGTCATTCTGAAGGGACTTGCAGCCACTTCGCCTCTCCCACAGAAGAGCACTCAGAGGAGCTGCACACAGGCAGCCCAGGGAGAAATCCTTGGCTTCCCTTCTGAAATGGTGCCACTCTTCCAAAAGGAACTCAGGACCAGAGAGGGGGCAAAAGAAAGCAGACAATGAGAAGCAGTATACTCATTAAAAACAAGCAATCAAACAAAAACACGCTCTTATTTGCTACATATCATACTTCAGAGAATCAAGACTGTAGTTAGGAGTTAAGCAAAATCTTTAGACACAGCCTCTACGAAGTTTGGTGCTGACATTAAAATACCAATTGTACAAATAATTGTGAAGACTGAAAAAGCCATCAAGCAGAGCCGATCTACTACAGAGGCTGCAAACTTCCACTCATTGCAAACGGCTTCCACTTCATCCTGGTCTCTGAATCGGTTTGCAATGTACCTGACCTCTTCCAAGATCTTAGCCAAATCTGGGTCACCTTCAGAGGGGTGGCCACTGTGCAGCAGGTTTTCTTCATCTGTTGGTGAGCAGGTCATCCTCCCACAGATCACCCCTGAATCAGTGGTAGGTGTGCAGTGAACCCCTTCCAGCCCCCTAAACCCAATGTACAGCATATTCCCATTACTGGACTGCTGTCCACTCACAGTGTTCATCTCCACACTTGACAGGCTACATCGACGTTGTTTATGTTGACAGGCAGGACGCACTTTATCTTCCCCTGGTCTTTTCATTCTCAGAAACCAAGCACACCAGTTGAGAAGGATGATTCTTGTCTGAAAGAAAATTTTTGAGAATAAGCATTTCTTCACACAGCCACTGTCTTTGGGCACTGTTGGCATTTTTGCAGCCTGGGTGACTGTCTGGTCCATGGTCTCTGCTTAGTCTGCAGAGGAGTTCTAGAAAATGGTGCCAGAGTTTTCCAACTGATTAATTTGCCAATCACTGAGGCTGCTTTCTTACTTTAGCAGTGTTGTTGATTGCCTCAGGCTGACTATCACTACCGGGAGTCCCCCTCCTCTGACGGGAGTCTCCGTAGTGTTGATTTTTCCTTGCACTTGAACAGCAAAACGGCAGCCTTTTCCACCTTTACTACAAACCATGAATTAATAAAAAACCCCAAAAAAACTTCCCAAAGAAGAGTTACCTTTTAATAGTCTTCATAGCGCTGCTTTAGACTGTAGTCAATATATTACAATTCTTTCACTCACATTTGTGTTCTAATATGAAATTATTTAGATGACATTACTGTATGTAGGGGGCTGCTAAAACAGATGCTCGACTGGACTGGACCACTAAGCTTTACACTGTTTTGGCTCTGCTCTCATATGGCTTTCATGACAGTTGACTGCAGACCTTAGAAAACAGATCTGGATACAGCATGGAGAAAAGATGGAAAAAACTACTTTGATTAAAAAAAAATACTTCACAGATTTAATCAGAGTGTATAATTTTATTGTTTTCTACATTGTCTTAATCCAGCCTCACAGAAAGTGTAGGCAAGCCAGAGACTGTTCCAGTTCGGATGCCAGCTTCTGTAATTCATTTCAATCAGATTTTAAGAGCTCATTTCAGTGTTTCTTTTCCAGAGCACTAATTAAATATTATTGTCTCATATAATATGCAAATCTTACACTGTAATTAATATTAGATTTGGTCCATTTATTCTGACTGTGGATTGCCACTCAGAGTAGATATTATATCCAAGCAAAAATCCTACCCAGAGGCAGATTTTGCCTTGTTACTCTATTTACACTATCAAGCTTCTCCTAGAAGGATATCACATTAACTGAGGGTCTGATCCAAAATTTACCAGTATCCAAATAATGTTTAATGGACTTCAGCTTATCGACACTAAAGCTCACTCCTCTACCTCAAGTACTTTGTTTACTGAGGAAGTTTGGCTCAGTACTAGACGTTTGTCCCCTTCAGGTCATCAAACATGCATCTAAGATAGATACCTTTTATTCTTTTAATTCAAATTATTTTCAAGTCACTACCCCCGAATAGCCCAGGGAATATCTCATTATCTCTTGTCCGCAGGGCACTGCTGTATGCACATTCTTTTTGGCTAGTAAGGATAATAATAACTCATCGTTCTAGAGAGAGAAAAAAAGAAAGGTCTTTCCATCTTCAGTCAGGCCTGATGCTGCCATGAGCTGGGTGAAGTCAGGAAGATTGCACAGTAAGCTGATGATACTCGTCAGTATTTAGTAATCCAGTATCAGAGCAATGTTCTCCAGAAAAACAACCACTCATAGAAGTGCATTATAAAGAAAGACTTGTGTGCTTGGAATTACTTTAATTTTTCTTTGCACTTTACAGATGTTCTTGACCAGAGATGTAAAGATGAGGATTTTCAGAGCAAGTTTCACTTCCACTTTAAGAACCATCTTTAACAAGTGCTTTTTAGACTACTGATGTTTCTTTATGCACAGCAGCTAAACAGATAGCAGCTGCAGAGTTGCACCTTGAGGCTAGTGTACTTCATGCATTTATAATCTCCAGCAGCACCTCATACTTTCCTTCTACCTGTTTCACTTTTGACATCTGCAGCTTATTTAAAACTCACCTTCAATTATATTTAGGTTTTAGCAAAATTCTGAACTGCTTCTAGCTGTTGTGCAGGAGATTCTGAATACAGAAGCAAGCTGAGGTATATTCATTCTCTCTTGCACACACACGCACACATGTACTCTCTAAGAACCCAACCACACAAAACATATCTGGACATCTCATTTCTGGTGAAACTAGTTTTCAAAACAAAGCATTTAGTAAGTATTTATAAGTTTTTAACAGTAAGAAGTAAACATGGGTCAATAGCTACTCTATCACATCCCTGATCCAGGCATTTATGCAATGGATAATGAATTAAAATCAAACCTTACCCATTTAGGCATTTTCCCCCCATCTGGATCATGATGATGGTATTGTAGAACGATAACAGTGACAACAACAGAAAGACCAACAATAATCATAGTGCTGGCAAAATACTGAGCTGCAAAATAAACAGATAATTACAGCAATATACTTTAGCTGATATTGCTTTGCAGCTATTATAAGGGGTGTTTACATACATGCATACATAGTGTTAAGTTCTTTTTCCAGTGTAATGGTACATGTGCCACTTCAGGCAATTATGAGAGATTTCTCAAAAGCAGAAAGAGCAGCCATTAGTAATTGTAGTAGCTAGACTTTAGTAATTGACCTTGTGGAACTGAGCACCTGCCTTTTCTAAGCAACCTTGAAAAAAATTGACCTCTCATTTTCTGTCACCAGTATTGTAGAGGCTGGCTAGTACTTCTTTTGAAAAGTTTCACTGTTTGAGAAATTACAATGGCAAGATTTGATCATGTTTAGCTCTGTATTCCTAATGTCTCGCCAATTGTGTCAAAACTGCAACAGCTTCTTCCATGTAAAACTTGACTCCCTTATGACTTCCCAAAATTCACCAACAGGTTCTCTATTTTGTTCAGAGCAGAGAACACAGAAGTTGTATAGGAGACCACACCATTCAGAGCCTTTCGTCAGTTAGCAACATTTTTCTAATTCAATTGCAGTAGGTCGTTTATACAGGTGGCAATTTGCCTTACTGCTGGCCTTCATGCAAAGTCACTGCACCTCATTTGACAAAAAATAAAAGTGAGTATATGCTATAGTTAGCTTACCGATTAAGGGCACAGAATCAGATGTTGCTGGCATAATTTCAGCCACAAGTAACATGAAGACAGTGAGAGACAATAAAACTGTTATACCTGAAAGATAAACATGAAGTATGAAATCAGATCAGCAGCTTGTAATTACAGGGCAGTAAAAAGCAGAAAATGTATCTGAAGGCGTGCCCTTTGCAAGATGCATTCCCCCTGTTACCCTTGCACCAGCACATTAGTAGGTACTCCTATTCCTTCTTGTACTACCTCAAGTTCAGGGTAGCAGTGCTGCCAAACTAGTACCAATGCTTGCACAGGCATATTTATTTTTAGATCCTTGTAACTGCTCGGCTTTTATCACCATTTGCTAATTAGCTGAGGTGAATCGAAGTTCTTTCTGCTTGTTTGCTTTAGAAACATGGTGTGATTTTGAGTATTTGACCACATGACACTTGATTAATTGGCATGGAAGCTACAGGTGGTGTAATGCATAATATTCCTGAAAATCAGATCTGCTGTCTTGGACAGATTTTGATATCTTTTTGATATTAGCTGTTGGGTTCTGCACATTGCTATGCCTGAGCAGTCCTGACTGTTGATTTTTGGAGTTTGACTTGTGTTGTTCAGTGATGAGTTCCCATCTTTTTGGAACATGACTTATCTCTTTTCTCAGGACTAGTCTTAAATAATAGGGAGTCACTGTCAAGTGGAAAAGGATTTAGGAACAAAGAATTAATCTTAAAATATGGGGAAGAACTTCTTGATTAAGGAGGCTACTACTCAATTAAACCACGTTCTGGAGAAATGTCAGTTTTGTTTCTATCTTTGAACAGCTATGTTCACTCAGTAGAAGACAGTGCATTTGCAGTTTTGTACGAGGCAAAAAGTTTCACTAAAGATTTAACATCCATCTTAAGGATTAAGTACCTAAAACCATCAGATTTATTTCACAAACCCATACTTTAGTTAAAATTCACTATAAAAAAATAGAATAGTAGCAGTTAGAATCAATCTTTCTGAGAAGGCACCTTAGGCTCTTAGTACAACTCACTATTAAAAGGAAATATTAAGAATTCCATGTTAAAGTGTTTAAATGCATATTTGTAAACTTAATCTTTACTCAGTGAATGTGGGATTTTTCTTCAGCAAATAAACATCAAAAAATGAAGCCCTGCTTCTTAAGAAAGGTAGTTGGGAATTGTCACACTTCTGTTTGGCTGGCTGGAATTTCTCCATTTCATGACTTCAGTGTACCCTAACCTGAGAGCAAGGGTTAAACACCATACAGCTTCTGCACCAAACAGTAAAAAGAGCTCATGAGCCAGAACAGGTCACGCAAGCGATTCCTCCTCGCCCACTAAAAAAACTTTTAAAAGGACAACTTCTTTTGACTTGGTCATATTTAAAATATCCTATTAAGGATTTACCTAGTGAGATCTTTTCTCCCGAGTCTGCTGGAAGCAGAAAAACTAACAAAGCAAGTGACGATATCAATACACACGGAATAAGAAGATTGAGTCCGTAATAGAGAGTCCTACGTCTCATAGTTACTGTGAATGTTACATCCGGGTAGGGTTCCTTACAACATTCATAAAAACTCTCAGTTCTCTTCCCAGGAACTCCTGTGTAGGAGGGAAAAGAAAGAAAACCAGAAATTAATGTGAATAAACTGTATATTATGTAGCGATTATTTTTAAAGGGATAAATGTAGCTTTCTAAGTTTCACTCTAGGTAAAACTTTAAACTTAATTCCCAATTAAGTATTTTTTCTCAGATAAGAAAAGATACTTACTGAAATCAAGCAACAGTTTTGTCACCTACTTTTTTATGTTGATTTTCATCTTACCTCTGTTCTCAGAGATTCAAATGCCACTAGCCTAGGTCATTTATTAATTTAATTTCTGTCTTCATTTCCCTATCGTTATTCCATCCATTTCAGCAGTGGACACAAGGCTGCAAGTTCACAGTATAAATAAGAAATCAAGAGCTTACCTACTAAATCCCACTCTCCATTTGAAATATAGCCAGATATATCCGCTTCTTGCATTTGTAAGTCCAAGGACCAGCCTCCGTAAGTCCAGGATCCAAATTTCAGGTTACACTTCTGAACATCAAATGGAAACCAGCGCACATCTATGTAGCATGAGCTTTTAAATATGCCTAGATTGGATTTTAGACAAAACCACTTAATTTAAATGTTTGTCCCACATAATTTCATGTTCCTTTTGAAACCAGACTTTTGTCTACATCATGCATTCTTTTTTTGACTTGTAAAGCGTATTTAAACTCAATTGTGTCTTGACATGTAAATAGCAAAAGTCAGTCATAGAAAAGGGAAAGAACTACACTGCTAATACATTGATGTTATAAACTAATTTTCGAACTACACTTCCATTTTGGCATGTAGTTGGAGATTATTTAGAGGAGAGCTCATATTTCTAGATACTGTATTTCAGAAACAAATGAAGCAGAATATGCAATCTGTTTCTCCTATTTCTTTTACTGAACAAAATAAGAAATCCTGAAAGATTATTTGCTGCTTTACTAGATATACATGATCTTGATTTATTCAGGAAAGCCACCTTCTTATTTTTCACTTGTTGAGTCAGGCCTTGTCATTCAGCGGCTTTCAGAATCGAATTTAAAAACCTCCACCAAATGGAACATCTTAAATCAAAAGAACAACAGGCAAACCCCATAAATCCTCTGGGGATCTTAGATGGAAAAAACTAATTTGTCTGGAAAGCAGTTGGCTCTATTGCTGTAGTTTCTAAAATTTATAAGAAGAGTTGATTCTAAGAATTATACTAACTGAGTTTGGGAACAGAAACAGAAGTGCACCGATATATATCCAACAGTCAGCAATATATTTCTGATATCCAATAAATATCAAATACAGATTACTTTCCTGACACAATAAAAATCGTTGTGATGAAGCATGAGGTGAATCACTTCAAACAGAAGATACATCCAAGATGTTACTAAGCCTCATATTGTAAAGTTCACGTATTAATAGAAGAAACAGCTAAATCAATGAAATAAATTTTTATTAAGAGACATTACCATGGCTTTAATAAACAGTATCTTTCTACATTAAGGGCATTTATTTTTTATATTCTTTTCTGTGTCCACAATTTTGAAATTGTGCATTATTACAGAAGAATTTACATAATTGCAATTAAAAATTTATCTTGTATGGTGGTTTTCATACAAAAGTGTAAACTATGTAGTGCATGATACATCTAGGCTTAAAATTATCAGATGATGCTAGCTAGATAAATAAAATATCAGAGAACTGATGCTGAATTGGAAACCACACCATACCATACAAAACTAGTCTGTTATCCAAATTTATGACATGAAAACAGCCTACCTGGTGGCAGATATTGGCAATGTCCTGAAGAATTGACTAAAACATTAGTGTGAAATGTAGCATCAAATCTTTCATCAGCACTAGAACAGGGAAGAAACAAAATAGGTTATATGCTCTTTGACTGGCTGAAGAATATCTGAAACACATCTGTTTTTCATAAAAGGATTATTTCTCCCCCCAAACTTGACAGCTTTTCTCCTGTCCCCAGTTTTCTATGTTCTCATAGTAACTGGCCTGACAATATTGGATTTGTTCCTGTTTAACTACTGTAAGTGAAGGTGAGCCACCTCGTTCTTGCTGCTCACCTGTCCCACTGCACTCGTCACAGTGCCTTGGCTCTGCTGATCTCCATGCGGAAAGTAAGCACTTCCTTAAAACTTCTCAAGTAACTACCGGGAAATCTGTTCTCTTACTCTCTACATTAACAGCAGCTAAGGAATACTGAGGAGATGGATACTCCAGTGCCTCATCCTACCCCTTTGCATGGGTCAACACTATTACTACATGCCATACATGACTGTTTAATGCGGCTCCAGCTTTCATTATCTACTTCAGAACCCCCAAACCAGGTTCAGCAAAAGAAAGAAACCCTATTAGGGGTGTCAGTGTAATGGTGCTGGCCAGGACAATCCTGGTGTGCTGTTCTAACACTTCTCTAGAAAAGAATCATAATGTTACTTGGAGAGTGCTTCAAATTATGAATTGGCAGGTGCTGCTGAGGAATCTCTCAACTACATGTGGCACTATGACCCAGGAATTTACTAGGCATTAAAATTTTAATAACTTCAAGATGGGAAACAAGCTATTTTCAAATATTTAGATGATGAAATAAAGACTCTTCCCTCTGAAAAGTTTAATAAGTTTGCTGACTTAAATCACTTTATGAAAGATCTTTAGAATACTTAGCATTGCAGTGGATATATACTCTTAAAATATTGTGCCCTATTTCACAGTTACCACTCCACGTTTTTGTGGTCAGATATTACAGACTCTGATCTATACATCCTTTAAAGTTTGGGACCTAGGTGTTCAAGAAATTGCCATAGTTATTGAAATTGGTGCTAAGATTAAATTGCACAGAATATACTGGGAACATATTGGCAGTGAATGATCTTTGCATCTCAAAATTATTTCAGGAACTGCTGTGCTGAAGTCATGTCTGATGGCTGTTGGCCCTGATTATAGACACAGGCTCCTTTCTTGGGCTTTCATTTGTGCAGGGGATAAGCAAAATGAGACACAGGCTACTGTATTTTGTTGTATTGTTTGTAGTTTCCAGGCACCTTGTGGGGACGGATTGGCACACAAGGCAAATATAGTGCCACCTGCTCTGGGGCAGGGCAGAGGAGGGTGCATGAGCCTCGGGGTCTGGCTTCTTCTGCAGTCTTTCCTTTCATTGACCTAAAAACCTGTGTTGTCTCTAGATTGATTTGAACATGTCAAGTCTCTGATGTCTCTGCCTATCAGTGGTTTAGTATCTCATAATTTTCTAATCACCTTCTAAAACATCACAAAAATACAGTAAGAGTCTGAGATGGGGAGAAAGCGAAATATTTATAATTCTAGCAGAAGATGAAGTATAAAATGGTATATTTTTCCAGCATGAAAACCTTTATTGAAATATTCTTTCTAAAAAAGAGGACTTCAATATTGGATCTATTCTCATGCAAATTTTCTATCTTAGAAGCTAAAATAAAGCAATCACTATTTTGGTCATCGTTACTGAAAGAAATTACATTTTAAAAATATCTGAACCAGTCTGTGTAATATGCAGACAAGAAAAAAATCCAAACAATTACTTGCCCATCTGGAGTTGCACTTTTTCCTGTGTGGAGCAGAAGGCTCACAATGTTGAAAATCTTTGTGACTATTTAATTTGAACTCTGAAGACAAGCAGAAAAGTCTAAATATTGTGTATGTAGCATGAAAGAATTCTAGCACTTTAAGGGGAAAAGGCAGTTCAGTTCTAAGGCAGCGGAGCTAATGTAGGCCACTCTCCTTCAGCTTCACAGCTCATGGCTGGATTCTCTGAATTCGTGTTACAGCTTCTCTTCCAGTTGGAGCACTAATTGTTCTCCCTCCTCATCTTGGCTGCCTGTTTTCATGACATTTATAAGAAACTGGTACTGATAAATCTCTACTAATTGCACTGCTAAATTTATCATAAGTGGATTCAAAGTATATTGGGGAAAGGGGCAGCAAAAGAAAGATCATACACAAAACATATTCACACAGGCATGAGTGTATATATGTGCATAAGTCTTGTTTCCTTAGGAAACCATACTTAAAGTCCTGCAACAGGTTTTTATATTAGATATAGACAAGTAATTTCTTTGACTTGAAATTAATAATGGGTACATGATGAAACTCTAACAAGTAGTCAAATTTAGGACATAAAAATATCCAAGCCACACAAATTACTTGTAAAGTGGAAATTAATGACTAGAAATAAAATTTCTTAGCCTCCTAGGCTAGATTCTGTTCTCTTCCCCTCGAGTGGAGGGCACTTAAGCACCGAAGAGTTGCTTCTAAGACCTTGCTGCTGTTTCTGGTAATTGCCAAAAATAAAATTTTCAAAAGGACACAAGTGATCAAGGAACCTAGGTTTCATTCCCATGTGACTTTGCCTTTCATAAGACAGATTCTTAGAAGAGTATCAAGAGGGTACTCAGACTCAAATATGAAATTCTTTTTTTCTGAAAAAGGAGCATATGTGCTTTTCCACACTGTGCTTCTAATTGTTTTTTGACATGCAGTGCTTCAGTTGGGAATGCACCAAGTAGCTAAGTCTTTGCTTGATGAGACTGGACTCAAATGTAATGAAGAAAACCATTTCTGCTACATTTCTTCTTCAGGATATAGCCACTTGAAAGCAGATATTGACTGCAGTACATGGGGCTGACAAAGCTGTACCTAGCAGATATAATCCCACTGGGACCTATCTGGAGAATCTTGGGTTAAAAAAACTGGAAAACCAAAATTGTTAGAATGAGACATAAATACCAGAATTTTTGTTATTCCATGAAGTACTGAACACTACATGGTCATCTGGAAAATAATACCACCAGAAATGAGCACTTCTAATAAATCTAGTAAAACTAACAAAGTGGAAGAGAGCCATACGTGACACTAACACAGTCAATCCTGGAATCTGTACACAGGCCAAGATTTTCTTCCTTCAGAAAAACTACAGATGAACTGGCCCTGCTCTCTTCACAGTGTAGACTGGTGTAAAATGTAATACATCTACCACAAGTTTATCTGCACTAGGCTGCAGCAAGATGTGTGAGGACTCAAGACATAGTGAAACATGCATTCATTAAAACGAAAAGTGAATTTATAGTTCATTAATTTCTTTGTAACTGCAGATGCATGTCCCTAGTGAAGTGTATAGAAATTGAAAGTATCTATCTCAAAATACCATGTCACTATATGAGAACATAGTAACATTCCCAGTGCAATTTCATACAGGAATAAGAATTTGTTTTAAATAGCTTTGCTCTCTGACTAAACTCTGAATAAGACTTTGGATTAAATAGGTGTTCGAAATAGAAACACTACAGAATAATTACTTCAGGACCACGCCATAGCTAACAATCCCAAGATACAAAAACCTATATTAACAGGAAACTAGTGTTTTCAGTTTTTCAGGTTATTAAGTTACCCTTCTTATTCTATAATGTGCTTCACCTACAGTTAGCACGTATGCATTCATATTACTAATTTCTAAAAAAATTACCCTTACATTTTGGATATACTTACTTCTTTGTTGAAGCATAATTCCTTAGACACACTGAAAGTCTCTCTCAGGTATGTGATATATGTAAGGAAGAATATTGTCATAATTTATTCTTTTGGAAACCTCTAAACTGCTGTTGTAGCGTACTAGTTTTATGGTATAGACAGTGTGTTATTCAGCAGGAGAATGGAAATAATGCATGATTTGTCAGATTCTACCAAGAATGCTGTCATTTACAGAATCAAGGTAGCTAGGAATAAATGCTCAAGTGAACAAATTTGCATTGAAAAATACATTAAGCAAGATTACCGTTGCAAAAATACCCATCCAGGTTGCATGCTGCTCCATTTTGTGTACAGAGGATTTGAAAGGTTTTTTAGGCTTTGTGTATGGACAACTGAAACACTAATTGCTGTGCTTAAACGAGAAACAAGAAGTAATCTTGACAGGCAGTTAGCATAAATATGGTGAACTCTGGTGGAGAACACCTCAAATCATTTAGTATATTGTACCTTTGAGAGAAGCACTGCAGTGTGCTGTGAGCAAAGCAGTAACAAAGGCCCTAGAGAGAAGTGTCTGACAAATGCTGTCACTGAGTGCTGTTATCACATTATGACAACTCAACAACACCTGTGACAGTCACATTGATCATAAAGGTGATCGTCAAATGTCAAAAGGGAGCATAACTGCAGCTGACATATTGCGTACAGCTGTTCTCTAGGTCTTGTTGCAACAACAAGCAGCTCCAGAAGTGGGGAGGGGGAATCAGGTTGACAGGACAGCAGGGCTGTCCTTAGTGACGCACAGCAGAGAAACAGGAAAAAAGCCATCAGGAAGACAAAAGGTTCATGTCAGCTGCATGGGCAAAAAAACACAATGTACCCTGGCTACTACAAAAGAGCCAGTGCAATATGTCCAGAGCAGATGTAAGTTCTTTCCAGCACCTGAGGAACAGCACACAGGCCCATAACAAATGCAGAAAAAGGCAAGCTGTTAAAGAGCAGGCAGCTCTCAGTGGTTTTATTTTTTTAAACTGAATAAATTCCACAATGGGCACTACCATATAATGGTGCAGCCAAAGAATCTCTCAATGTCAGCCAAAGGTTCTGCAGTGGATTGATAGCAATCTGTCTGTCCCTGAAATAAGCCCAACTCAGAACAGATAGGTTGAAGAGGAGAGCAGTAAATATTCTAGCTATTGTAGCAGGAAGAAAGAGTGACACCAAAACTGGACATGGGAAAATGCAAACATACTTACTGGCGTTTACCTATCCTGCCTCTAGTGAACTAAAGAAGAAGTCAAAAGTCAGATTTGAATTCACCAGTCAACATTTCGACCAAACAAATAATTTAAGATTAATTAAATTAATATAATTAAACAAATTATCTTTATTAAGATAAATTAAGATATTTAAACAAATATTTATCACTACCCATACCATTAAACACCAACAGCAGAGTTTAGTTTTCTAATCATCTCACAAAACCCAACTAGAATTGGTGGTAGGGAGGATGTAGTTGTTTACATAGTATTTGCAGATATGACCTTCTGTTGTGTAAATGGGAGATTGGTAATTTTCCAGTATTCCAAAAACCTGGAAAGTTTTAGAAAAGTATTTCAAAACCTAGGCATTTTAGTGAGATGATTATGTCATTTGCCTTGCCTTATCTTTGCAATTGGACAGGGTGCTAGATAATCTTATCTAGGCTCCCTTTCCCATGAAAGGTTGAACCAGTTGAGCTTTCGAGGTCCCTTCCAGCCAGGGCTATTCTGTGATTCCAGACTTCTGTGATCTTCTTTCAAGTGGCTATATCCTGAAGAAGAAATGTAGCAGAAATGGTTTTCTTCATTACATTTGAGTCCAGTCTCATCAAGCAAAGACTTAGCTACTTGGTGCATTCCCAACTGAAGCACTGCATGTCAAAAAACAATTAGAAGCACAGTGTGGAAAAGCACATATGCTCCTTTTTCAGAAAAAAAGAATTTCATATTTGAGTCTGAGTACCCTCTTGATACTCTTCTAAGAATCTGTCTTATGAAAGGCAAAGTCACATGGGAATGAAACCTAGGTTCCTTGATCACTTGTGTCCTTTTGAAAATTTTATTTTTGGCAATTACCAGAAACAGCAGCAAGGTCTTAGAAGCAACTCTTCGGTGCTTAAGTGCCCTCCACTCGAGGGGAAGAGAACAGAATCTAGCCTAGGAGGCTAAGAAATTTTATTTCTAGTCATTAATTTCCACTTTACAAGTAATTTGTGTGGCTTGGATATTTTTATGTCCTAAATTTGACTACTTGTTAGAGTTTCATCATGTACCCATTATTAATTTCAAGTCAAAGAAATTACTTGTCTATATCTAATATAAAAACCTGTTGCAGGACTTTAAGTATGGTTTCCTAAGGAAACAAGACTTATGCACATATATACACTCATGCCTGTGTGAATATGTTTTGTGTATGATCTTTCTTTTGCTGCCCCTTTCCCCAATATACTTTGAATCCACTTATGATAAATTTAGCAGTGCAATTAGTAGAGATTTATCAGTACCAGTTTCTTATAAATGTCATGAAAACAGGCAGCCAAGATGAGGAGGGAGAACAATTAGTGCTCCAACTGGAAGAGAAGCTGTAACACGAATTCAGAGAATCCAGCCATGAGCTGTGAAGCTGAAGGAGAGTGGCCTACATTAGCTCCGCTGCCTTAGAACTGAACTGCCTTTTCCCCTTAAAGTGCTAGAATTCTTTCATGCTACATACACAATATTTAGACTTTTCTGCTTGTCTTCAGAGTTCAAATTAAATAGTCACAAAGATTTTCAACATTGTGAGCCTTCTGCTCCACACAGGAAAAAGTGCAACTCCAGATGGGCAAGTAATTGTTTGGATTTTTTTCTTGTCTGCATATTACACAGACTGGTTCAGATATTTTTAAAATGTAATTTCT